AGGCAGAGCCCAGCGCACAGGGAATTGAGGATCATGCTCCAACTACACCGGGGGAGACTTCTGTGCATTGAGCTGGGAGAAGGGACATTTTACATTAAACTAGTTATTGCCTATATTTAATTGATTTATGATTGGATTATGTAAGACATGAAAGGATCCTTACAGATAAGACAGCACACTCTCCTCATTTTACAGAGGAGGAAATTGAGGCATAAGTGGTCACAGGCTCCAGTTCACACACAGGTGAATAGAAGTCAGGGCCCCTGCATGGGCTTGGCTCTTTCCTGACACCTCCTTATGCTCACTGAAGAAGGGCAGACATCCACAGCCTATCTCAAAGATGAACACTATCTGAAAGGTAGTCCGTGGTGCACCTGACAAGGCCTCAAACTACATCAGAGTATGGCTCTTGGATTAGCATTGCCACCAGCCCAACAGGGCTGCCCTGACTTCTTCCTCAAAAAGTCAGTCCTCCGGCTGCCCAGACCATGTGCTTAATGCAGCATGGCCAGCCTGGCCTCTGGGGCCTCATGGCAGTGGGCTCCTGCCCCGTGAAGGGAACCTGCAGTGGCGACTCCCTGGACATGCGACACCAAGCAAACGTGAGAAATTCAAGAACACCAAGGAAGCCATATTTTATATTATTGAAATTAATGGATGAAAAAATAAGATTAAAAAAACCCTCCACAATTCTGAGACGGAATTGTATTTCAGTCCACCTAAAAACAATTTCATAGGGTTTTAGAAATGTGTTCCAGATGATATTGTGCCAAGATCTCAATTATTTTCTTACAATATGTTTAAAGTCTTTATTTTTTTGCTTATGATTAAAACATAGTTCTCCATTATGTTACCATCACATTCATCTCACTTTCAGACTGGGGAAAATTTCAATGACTTCATTAAAATATTAATGTTTGCTGTTGAAAATATTTATTTTTCCCTCTTCATGTTCTTTAAGAATAATGAACTTACCAGTACTTAAGAGAAGAAATAATTACGCGAAAACACACACACACACACACACACACACACACACACACACACACACACAGAGTAACCGTCATTTTAAAAGGTATTGAGGCCTCCTCGCATAGGTTCTTGGACGTACCATGAGAAGGAAGTATATGTGGCTGCTCTGTGAGGTCTTGAACATTGAGGAGTGGACTTTCTAGTATTATTTTACCCACACCAAGGTCACGTTTTATTTCACATTCCGGCCTCAAAGAAACACTGGCCTCCAGAGACCCAAAAGTCATTTTTAAAAAATTAATAAATGATGAGTGAAACAAATACTGCTTTTGTTTCATATTTGTGGAAGTTTTCTATTCTGTTTCTTCCCATGGCACTGCTTCCCCCACCCCCTCCTCGGAGTTAGAAAGAGAAACTGCGGCCCAGGCCCACCCACGCGTCGTGGCGGGGAGCTGGCGGGGATGCGGGCGCACGCCTGGAGCCCTCACCCAGGATGATAAAGCCTGCATGAATTTTACGAGTCTCAGTATCAAGGTTGCCCTCGCCCAAGGGATTTAAGAATAAGGGGGGGAAAAAAGAGAAGGCAGATGTATGAATAACTGGCATTGTAAATCTTCACCGTGGCAACCTACAGCTAGAAAAAGTCTGTGATGGGTTCATGACTTGAGAAGAAAGCGACACAGCAGAATGTGAATGGATTTTCTTCAGCTACTTAATACACTGCTTAGAGCAGCTTAGGGAGGGTGCATGTGAGTGTGTGCGTGGAGGAGTGTGTGTGTGTGTGTGTGAGAGAGAGAGAGTGCGTGTGTAAGAGGAGGAGCTCCCTGGCAATTCGTTAGATGGAATTACTAGTGTTATACAGCTTGCCAGCTTTGGGGGCAAAAAGAATACCGTTTAGCCTCGGAATATAAATGACTGGATTTTGCTAGGGGGAAAAAAGAGGCTGTGGGGGAGGGGCATAGGATTATGCAAGCCGGTAACAATGAACAAATTGGACCCTCCGCTACACAGCACAAGGTCACCGCCAAAGTCATGGTGTTGGTTGGTGGAGGTGGTTGATAGAAGACAACGGTTCATGATAAATCGCTTCCCATTTTGCAAAATCTGGCAGTTAATGAAAATAAGATGCATTTGAGCAGTCTATACGAACACCTAATTTTTCCGTTCTCTCTCCCTCTCCTCCTCTCCACACGCAGACACACACGCAGGCACACGCAGGGCCTGCTGATGCATGGAAGCAAAGCCTTCGCTCTAATTGTGCAATTATCAAACGGAAATGATGCAGGTTTGGCAACACAGGGAAAGAAGGCAGCTCAATAACATTGTTTAATAACAAGCAAATAAAGCTCCGAGGGGAAAGAGGTGACTATTTCTGCTTTAGACTCATTAAGGAGCCTGAAACATATTGTAAAAGAGTGATATTTAATTATGGGCTGGGCTGATAACAGAGAGCAGGGCCTCACTGGGAGAAAGAGACCCCTGTGCTCCTAGGAGCTCACAGCTCCAAACATCAATTACCATGATTATCTACCCGGCGCTTACAAAATGCACCGTCTCCATGTTCCATCAGCGACCCGTAAACAGGCATTGCATAGGCAAATTTATGGGCACAGGCAGCCAGGGCCAGGTGGGAAAGCAAGCCGCCCATTGGTGCTTCCCCGCAAAGGAGGAAAGAGGCAAAGGAAAGAAAAAATCCGTCTTCTGCACCGCTGAAAACAATTTATTACTGAGCATTTGCAGAAGACAGCGTTTGTTGCCCTGCTGCTATTTTTTTTTTTTTTTTTGGCCTCTGTTCCCTGTCTGAATGAGGAATGGGAGGATATTAACCAACTCCTGGTTACAGGGGCCCCCTTGGCAGGGTCCCATCAAACTTTTTGGTGCTCTAGAGGCCCCAAGTCCAAATGTACCAGGAATTAGAAATGAGATACCTGTTTCTCCCTTTAGCCTTAGCCTCAGGGAACAGATAGGACAACCCGTTTGTTCGCTGGCTTAACATTAGAATGTGGTAGAAATCAAACTACCGTAAGGAGGATAGTGTTCTCATCTGTACACGTTAGGAAGTATTTTTGTTAGGTTGTGTGTTTTCTGTTGTGTATTTTTTTTCAGTGTTTTCAGGGTGGATTGTGGAGTTCCAGGATTAAAGAATGCTGGAAGGTTGTTGCACTATCAAATCTGTTTTTACAAAAATGATGATGTACTTAGACTGTGTCTATCTACCCATTACCAGTTCTGGAAGAAATTCAGGCTCTTCATGTACAAATTATTCCAACAACTGCCTGAAATATTGATGAAATCCCTCAGATATTTTTGATACTCTCTGTATTTCAAGACAGGAAGTGTCTTCCTCCTCCAAGCTTTACAGCAAACTTTTTGGGGCAAGCGTCACCTCTGCAGGCAAGGGCTCAAGTGCACATCCTTTGAATTTTGTCTCGCTCTTTTGCAACTATTTTCTTGAACAAGATGGTCCATAAAGAATGCATGCTGAACAGTGAACACCAATGACTGGTCAGAGCCACCATAGGTAGGCAACAGAGAATGGCAGGCTGGTCCACTTCACTCCCACCATCCACCTCCAGAGCTAGAATTTCTTGTGGCTCACAAATTGGTTAAGTACTGAGGAACACTACGGACTGCAGATGTTCTTATCAGTCCCCTCGTGGAGAACAAAGGAGATTTGGGCTACTTTTTAATTCTACCCTCTCAGCTCATCAACACTTGGTTTGCATTAAAATGTAAGAACATTACACTCAACACCCTTCTAATCATCAGAAAGTACTGCTTTGAAGTTTCCCTGTTTCTCAGCTACTACCCATGACAGATGTTTGCCAGAGAACAACTCAGGGGGCATTTTTTTGCAAGCATTTTGGCTGAGAACGATAACCATTGTGCCACTTAATATTTCAGCAATCTCTGGAGAAATCGGGGAATAGCAGTTACTTATTTATCTCACGTCTTGCTCCTTGCTACCTCCCCACCACCACCGGCACGACCTCTGAAGGCACACATTAATTTCACCTCAGTATTTCCATAGCATCAATTAATAAAAACTGACTACATTTTCAACAAACGCACATGTCCTGATAAATGAGGGTCCTGACTTAATTGCTCTGTAAATTAAGAGCTCACCGTAGTGACAATAGAGAAGAGTTTTAATATTTAAAAACTCATTAAATTTGTGTACTTTGTGAATAATTAAAGTCACAGGACCACTTTAAGGGGCTAATTTAAGTTTCATTCTTAAATGTATATCACAGATGAGGATAATTCATCTACCAAAAAAAAAAAAAAGACAATTTTTTGAACTACTAAATTTGGTTACTTTTTTTGGTCTAATTTGTCTGTGGCTTTTTCCTCATCTTTTTTTTTTTTTTTTTTTTTTTTTTCCTAAATGACAATGACTGAATTAAAATGTTGCGGTCTGGGGGTTTAAAAGTCAGTTATCTGTTTATACAAAAAAGAACGATCTAAAGGCAAAACATACCTGGTTGGTTTCACCTTTTTTCTTATATATGAGCTAAACTTTTTCGTTTGCATGTGATTATTTTCATTTGAAATGTGCTCTAATTTGAACTAATTTCCGCCCCCCCCAAAAAAAAGTTCTGTTGTTTTTGTTTATGACTTACAGCTGTGTAAAGATCTAAATGTGTAAGTATGTGTGACGATGACAAGACTTGAAAAGATTTGTGCAAACCACAAATCCTGGTGATTACAAAAGGGAGGCTCTCTTGAAAGAGTTCACGTCAAAACCCCTGAATAACCACTAAACACAGAGAGCAGAGATTCTTTCCCCTTTAAATCCAAAGTTTGACTTTAAAAGTGATGACTGCTCTAAGAATGAGTTATGATTTTCCAGCCTGGTGTTCACAGTTGGGAAAGGGTCTAGTTCTGGGTCAACGAGGCTTCTGTGTCATCTTTGTACTTTTCACATCTCTTACTCCTCCTGTCCACATGTCAATGTTAGTATTGTCATCGATATTTAGTCAATGATTAAGCTGACACTCTTGGTCTGCTCAGTTTTCGGAGATCACTGGACATTTTGAAGTGTGAGCTCTCTGTAGAAGGCAAGCATACGGAACTCCGTCTGGTATTTCTTCCTGGAAATGTACGTACCATTTTTGAAAGAATCACTTTCTTGTGAACTCGATACTTCTGAAAATAAAAATGAAAAAAAAAAAAAAAAAAGCTGGGGCTGGGCCTTGGGGAGGCACTTTGATTAAATTGGAACATTGATCTGTCTTCAAGCAACCCTTAGCAGGGAAAAGAGGTGTCTACCGAAAAAGGAGACAATATTCATAAATCATTGTTTTATTACAGGTTGGAAGAAGTGAAGTGGATTTCCTAGGATGTGGATGGGGCACACCTACTATTCTTAAAGGAGTATGATCCCAGTTCTTGTCTTTAAAAGAAATAGATGAATGTGGTAGCAATCCAAAGTCTGTGCTCCTGTGCCCTTCTAATAGAAGAAATCATAAAAATGTAGAGAAAAGTAGGTAAGAAATGCACACACAGGATAAAAATGTAAAAGGTAAACTATGTTTTTATGCTATCAATTCATTATCACAACTGCTGAATGTTCCTCTGTCTTAGACTAGGGGCTATCTTTCCAGAATTCTCAACTGTAAGAAAACTATTATATTAAAATGCTCTCACAATGAATCCCATGGGATTGGGGAAAGCTATGTTGCAAATGGGATTTTGCACTGTGTGAATTGCCAATCCCAAAAGATTGTGAGATCCTGTGGCTAGGCACAGGTTCTACAATATGTGCATTTGTGAAAAGGGAATGTCATCACTACATATTATTTTTACCTTTGGCAAGAATTTTATAAAATTTCAGAGCATATCACACTCAAAAATACTTCTATAAGGGTGGCAAAATCTAAATGAAATCGCTCTGGATGCCATACTATCATGCGTTTATTAATTTGTTCTTATATTGTTTTTGCTTTATTTGACCTGGAAAATAAATGAAAACTGTAAGTTGCTAGTCCTATAAAATCATCCACCTGTTGAAAACATAGCATAGCAAATACTGCGATGGACATCGGGGAGGAAAAGGTAAGGAAAAGGAGTGAAACTTAGGAGAACAGATGCCAGAAAAAAAATGCAAGGAAGAAAATAATGGGAGATGGAAGTCTCCTTTCTCTTTTTAGCTTCCATTTTGGATATGAGCAGATGAGAAGGGAAAAGAAATTGATATGGAGAGAAACACACGGTGGAGAATAACCCAAGACAATAATACACAGAGGCACTTGCCCCAATAAAAATGTCATGTCACATGCTAAAGGACAGAGGAAGCACACAATTGCCCATATTAAATTTTCACTTTGTTATAAGGCATTCACTGAAAGAAAATTGGTTAAATCTGACCACATCACCCATTGAAGTCCCTGTTTTACAACTAACATAATGGGCGTGTGGAAATGCCTCTCCATCCACCAGGGGGCAGAAATGAGCCCTTTGAGTGGCCAGAGATCTTTGGACTTCAACTTTGATTCGGAATAGTTGTAATTTGCATAGCCTTTTCACTCTCAGACATCACTCTTTCTGTCTCTAGGAACATAACCATATAGACATTTCAAAGAAACCTCTTAATTCTGTGAAGCTCTAAACTTCACTCTACCAATAAACTCCCCCACGTGTTTAGTGTGAACTACCTTACGTTCACACTAAAGAGATGTGACGGGAATGCTGGGACTTACATATGGTGGTCTTCATATTTTGGTGGATTTTTCTTTTGAGGCATGGAGTGCCTGACCTTTGCGTATGCAAGATTCGCTAGCATGTAAACTCTGTCACTATTTCCCAAGGACATAGAAACAGGGCTATTAATAACTTTAATGCTTACCGTTTTATGTAGTATTTTTCTGTGGAAACTATCTATTAAAAAGTCAAATTTGGTGGTGCTTTTCTTGTGTTTTTGGTGGGGAGGGGACCACTTCCTGGAAGGAAGGGACATGTGTAATGTATATAAAGTCACCTTATGCTAGTCTCATTCAGTTTAGCACCGTATTGCTCAGTGATAATGGCCTTCATCAATGCAAGCATCAAAGTAAGGGTGGCCATTTCAGGAGAACTAAATGTTGGAAATAATTAAAATAACTACAACTGACATATACTCAGGGGAGCCATAAAATGTAGCCTTCTCTGATGTTGTCCAATATCTAGCTGAACTGAAATATAATCCTTTAGCATCTGAACAAGTAAAAAGAAAAAGTCTGGCTCAGGAATTGTCATTGGAGTTGGTTGCTCACCACATTTCTGAATAGTTTACATCTGTTGACCAGCCCTAAGTCCTACTTAACATATGCAATCTGATGAGAGATCACAGTCTGAATTAATTGATGTAAAATGGATTGAGTTTAATTAGCACATCTTTACCATACTGTATTGAAGATGTGGCATTTAAAGAAAACTAGAGCAATATTCAGTAGCACAAACATTATCGTCTACAGAGATTTTAAAGGAAATCATAATAAGAAACATGAAGCCTATTGAACTCCATTAAAAAGCCAAACCACAGGGAGGTAGCCAGTCAGAAAGTATAGCCCTTGGAATGCAGTCTAAAAACCTACCAGGACAGCCATGCTACTATTGCTGAATCACATCTGCCATCACTGATCTTGCCAGAAGATGTAAAGAAAAGAAACCCAGGTGATTTCAGAACCATCCATTTTTTTTTTCCTTTAAAAGTATGGGAAACAAACTCTTGGGAATGTTGGTAGAATTTTCTGTTGGTGATGAGCTCCTCTTGTCCCAAGCTCAGGCTCCCTGGTAATGGACCCCACTGTACATGCGTTTGAATTTCCTCTGTGGTTCACTCTCTGTCCTTTGGAGGCTGTTGTGACAGGGCTGCTCCTTAGTGACTTCCTGGGATAGGCATGACATTGATTAGATACACACTCCATGTACTTTAACACTAACCATGACATTAAAGTGGTAAAATCCATAATAAGTAAATCCAACAGCAACATATACACAAACAAGGTGGCAAATTGCTCAAGCTTTCCTAAAATTATACATCTTCTTGTACTCAAGAAAACATTTGCTTCATTCAGGGTTTTCCAGTCGTGATCCATCTCACTTCTGTTTCTTCAATGTTCTAACGTCATGAGTAATTGCTGTTTTTTCCTCACTCTTAAAGCTATCCAACCTTGAGTTTGATTATTAATACTTTTGTTTTTCTTTCCAAATAACAGAGAGAAAGTTCCAAGAGTTCTTGTTTGTAAGTTAAAATGATGCTGCTAGTTGGGCTTTGGTAGGTCATTTGTTTTGAGTTGTTTTCCAGAATCAGGCTTATACTAATCTTTTAAATATTTCTCTTACCTAGCCCTGCCTATCCTCCCATCAATGATTCTTTTTTCCAACAATACTAAGTACTAGGTTGTCACTGGGTTTTAGAACAGACTGAAACAAACAGGCGAACTTTGATATGGATATTCATGACCTGGGCTCCAACAGCCCAGTTCTCTATTCAAGGATCAAGCCCACCATCTGATGCCATACACATCTAAGACTTTCTCAAAACATCACACTTCTATTTAGATCTCCATTAGATCCACATAAATGATAAAATATCATATTTCAAAAAACGATCAATATCATCAAAAATTCATCCTTGAAATTTTTAAAGGTAGTTTTTCTCTCTGGAAGAAAAAAAGAAGCATGTCAAAGCAATTATATGTACAGCTGTCTAATTGCTTGCACATTTGAGGCCAGTAGGAACCAACTGTCACTGCAAGAGACAGACGTAAATCTGGCCCTTGGTGCCTTGAGGACTGACCTGTTCAGATCTGTGGTTCCACAGGCATTTGTATCTAGTATACGGGTGCTGCTGGATTCTTGGTGTTGACATTTTAAGTAGTTTAATATTACCCGAATGAGACAAAATTGAAAAACCTTCAGAAAAGGAAATGTTTTGCTGATCTAAAACACAAATACAGCTTGAACTCCAGTGATGTAGTTCAAGGACATAATAGAACCAAAGGTAATGTTCTGACAAAATTTGGACATTTCCAGATCCATATTCAAATATGGGTATTTATGATGCATCTTGGAGTCCTCGACATGTAGGGAAGTCCAGGCACCTCCATGACCTCTGAATCAGCTAGGGATAAATAGCTGGAAAATCTATTCTAAGGGTAAAAACTGATGATCAAGAGCTGGGAGCATACGAATAACAACTATCACTCATACAACAGTACTAACGATATTCCTAGGTGTTGTGGTCAGTTCTATGCAAATGATCAGCCAGCAAGGGTGCTTTTCTACATCTAAAAGTCAGATCCCAATGCAATATTGGGACTTCTTCTTGGGACAGTTTGCTTTTTCTGAAATTGTGGCCTGCCTAACAGCCTTGCTCACCCTCTCCCCGCATCACACACCCCTAACCCCCAGGACTGTGCTTGACATAATGTCTAAACAGAGAGGCTCAGAAGTGGCTATTAAAATTCCAACTCCTCATCATTTATCTTATCTCTGCTTCCTCACTCTTCATCTTTTGGGTTCTACTGTCTCTTCCTTGGACATAAAATTTCTGAAGGAAGCACTTTGCAGATTATCATCTGTAATTAACTTAAATTCAATGATTTGAGTACTCCCCTTTAATTTTCTGTTGGTGGTGTGATCAGGGAATTCATCAGTAATCAATGAATTTCATAAGTATGTATGTGCATATTTGCTATCACACACAGCATTCTAAACAACATATCATGTAACTCGTGCAGTTTCCAAATCTTGATTATTTAAACAAAAGCAGATTTTACCTCTGCAAATCTTTACAACCAAAAAAAAGACAAATGGCTTTTTGGTTTCAATCTGGCCTTAATAATTTTCCCTCTGTTTATTTTCCATTAAAAAGAAGGTGGTTACACAATCCAACCTACAGTACAAAATACTTTTAAAAATCTAGAACTTTATTGGCTATAGTGTTTATTAGTTCATATAGTTTTCAATTCATTTTGACTATTCTGACACAAATTGCTATATAACTTAAATTCTGACGCTGGGGAAGGGAACACTGTATCAGTTTCTCAGGATCTCCTTTCTGCCAGGAATTTCCTCCTAAGATTCACTGATAAAATGTTGATTGCTTAGAAAACAAAGTTGCAATATTCATCACTTTGTGACCACCATGACAAATTACAGAGCATTGTTGTTTAAATTAAATGTTAAAGTAGGTTAGTCCAGACATTTATAATGGTGCATGTAATTAGCCCAAACCGATGAAATATCAACAAATTAACTGTTTTTGAAGAAAAAAAAAAAAAAGTAGTATTCGAAATTGTCCAGTATGAGCACTGGGGCCTTTAAACAAATGATGTCACACAGTCTGGGAGGCTTTGTCATGTTCAGTAAATTAGCATGGCCTAACCACAGCAGAAAATTTCCTTGAGCTGCAATAAAGACTAAATGCTTTCAGACTCCCATGGTCCTTTGTAGTCATCATTTTAAAGCACTGCCTTAGTGAGCTAAACCTGTAAAGTTTTCTTTTGAGCGGCTGTGAGTTGATTAGATCTATTTCAGCCTAGTAGTGGTAATAGGCTCCTCTCTGCGAAACTGCTTACCCTCTGCTCCCCTGGCAGCTGGAGGGACTGGAATTAATCAGGTCTGCTGGGGACTTCCTCAGCGTCTCCGCAGGCCAGCGACTCTGGAATCATTTACCACAGAATCTGACTGTCAACTCTTTGTCATGTAGGCTTTTGATTATGCTTTCTTTCTCTCTCTCATTTTCCTTCCTTGTTTTTTCAGAAAAAAAAAAAAAAGGAAATGGATGAGGGATTATCCTAATGCAGTATTTTACTAGTGACTTATATAGGTATCTCTTATCACCTTTGATCTGTCCTTTAGAAAATATGGGTATGTGTGAAGGTAGTGGGGACTTACTATGAAAATTAAAATTAACTTTATCTTTCTTATTAAGGTATATATCCAGCCAAAAGATAGGCAGGCACTCATAGGTACACTGTCTTTCCATCCGAAAAATATATATTTGGAGATTTCATTTTTGAAGGACCTTTATGATTTCCTTCAGCAGCATCCAACAAAGTGCTCTGCCTGTATCCCCAGCTCAAATTTGCCTGTGTTTCAAAATGTGCAGAATCACTACTTAAAACACAAAGCACATTAGCATTCATGGCAAAACACTTCCAAGTACCCATAGAAATTACAAAGAAGCAGATTCAAGTCCATATAAAAATCTACTGGTCTAATTTCAGTATTTGATTTTCTCAGTGCAAATATCTTGATAATTGAGTTGTATGATTTTATGCTTAAAATTCAAAGAATAAAATTCCCATAATGTCATAACAAAAATAAACCACCCGAATCAAAGTGCAATTTTACATTAAAAATTTTTATCTTGGGGCAACTTCTTCTCCCATTTAGCAGCCAAGAATATTTTCACTTATTTCGGCACTCTAATTGTTTGACAGGGTTCTCCTTCTAAGGGAAACATATACCCAATAGATAGGGTAGAGACATTTAAATATCTTCTCTAGGGTATAACCATAATAATTATATGTAAATGTTGGGACTTAATGTTTCTAAAATTGTGATACATAATATTCTAGGATAAATGTAATCCCCCTAAAAGTATTTTTGCAAACAATATTTTCTTTCACCTAATTGGTATGAAGGCTGTAATGAGTCAAACAGCGAAATACTGTATATTGTAAATGCCAAGATGTAATGAATACATCAGTATCACATAGCCTGTACCAATAAATGTGTTACTGAAACAGACAACAGACTAAATGTGTTTACCTTATGACATGAATGTCCTGCTTTCTGTATGAATTTTCAGAGCTCTGCAACAAGTTTCAACTGAGGGATTGTGAATTATGTAGGGCTTGTGTACTCTGTATAGAATGCAGCTTTCTCATTTGTTCTCTTCTGACAC